TATCGAAATAAATTTACATAAGCATGAAAACAAATCTTGCTCTTCTCGTGTTACTTAACGAATATCATTCTGTTTTCGTAAGGTAATGCGAGCTCTCGTGTCTCAATATCTGAATTCTTCTAATCGAAGACCWTAATTCTCATACCAGAGATTTGCAAACAAGTTGTAGCGAAGACCAACATAGCCGCTCGATCGAAGCATGATTGATTTTCAACGGATGCTTCTTGGGACTGTTTTATACCGTTGCTCTTCAAAAACGTTAAACAGATGCAAGTAACCATTAAACGGATTGTTTTTTTTTTAAATGGATAGGTTAACCATTTAAACATTTTGTCGAAAACGTTAAACGGATGAGCAAAGCATTTAAATGGATGAAGAAAGCATTTAAATGCTTAGATGATCCATTTTAAACGGATAATAAACAGATAGTAAAAGGATTATTTCGTTAAACGGTAAAGCTTTAGTGTACGAAATCCTGTGCGCGGTCACATATAAATAAAAGTTATTATTATTATTATTATTATTATTATTATTATTATTATTATTACATGGTTAGCTTTGGGAAGGTGAGGGTTGATGGTACGACATGGCTAACTTGGGTACATCCAGATTAACAGGGTAAAACATGGCTAAATTAGGAAAGATGTGGGTTATTATAGTACAACATGGAGGACTTAGAGCAGACATTGGTTAACATGGCACAACATGGCTAACTTAGGGTAGATAGGGGTTAGCACAGTAGAGCATGATTAACTTAGGGAAGATGGGAATTGACAGGGTAGAACAAAGTTCGGGGTTCTTCCACTTTTTCAGGAACCCAATTCAAGGACTTTTAAGGACTTTCTAGGTCATTTTCAAGGACCTTGGCTCTCACATTCAAGGACCTTTTGCGTTAAACAGCAGCTAATAGAAATAAAAAACATTCTCTTTATTGTTAAATTTCAATAACATGAGTGTGCATGCAGGACCAGCCAAAAAGTCCAACAACCATGAATTCAAGCATGCACACCAGATTGATCACATGCTAGGTACCAAGGTTATTTTCAATGCACCAATCA